TAAAAGTAAACTTCCTCCATAACTTTCTTTTCTCAACGGGGAGAGTGTCCGATTCTCTCCTGATTGATTGATTTTCTCAAACATCCACTCATCACCGTGCATATACTGTAGTCCCGCAACAGGGGTGACGAGAACAGTCTCCCTTGGGTGGCTTCTGATTCGGCTGGAGAAGTCCCAGATGGATTACCTTCCTCCAAGGACCCTGGCCTCGAGGATGCACCAGCACGGTCCATTCTTCTGGTCCTAAACCTTCTATTGATAGTTTCACTTTGCCCTGTTTTCTATTTGGCTCTAGACTCTCACGCCTCCCATCTCTTATTTCTTTCTTCTGTGGTATTTTAAACACTTTTGGTCCTCCTTCCTCCTCCTGTCACTCGTCTTCCCAAACCATCACCATCTTTTTCTCCCCTGATTTGTTCCCCTCCTCTGTCGTCAAGAACACATCTACCCTCTTCTTTTTCTTCTTCTCCAACTCTTCTCCTTTTTCTCCCGCCTTCAGCCCTTTCACCTCCTCCGTAACCTTCTCTACATCTCTGTCCCCATCCTCTCTAATTCTATCCTCCTCTATAGATGGCTCTCTCTTTTCTGCTGTTTTATCCTTCAGCTCACACTACTAAAAATAGAAAATTGAAAGAGTAAAAAAGGAATATTATATTGTGTAGTACACTTAGTACCATTTTATTTGCTGTAGTTCAGTGAGGAGAATGAGAGACATATATTTTGGAAAGGAATAGGATTTTGACAGAATAGAAGCAAAGTAATTTAAGCAGATGTTGAGGCATGGGTATGTGCTCCAGTAGCCTGTAAAGAGGTTTTTTGTTTGCGGTTTTTTGGGGGGGTTGTTTTTGTTTGTTTGTCGTTGTTGTTGTTGTTTGGGAAAAATAGTCTCCTGGAATGGCCGTTTTCATTTTGGAGGCCCTGGCAGAGTACACGAAAGCACCCATTCCCATAAAATAAAATAATTAGGATTTTCCTATATGGCCATTTCCTGGTTTTGCTTTTTTCAAAATATAGCTGAAACTGGCCATTTCTGGATCCCGCAGAATCTGTGTTGTGGTTGGGCAGCTATTTTGAGATTACTCACACGTGTCTAAGGGTTAGTATAAATGAAATAGTCTTGAAAATAGAAGTCCTTTAAAATTCCTTCACTTGGTGATCATCTGAGTAGCAGGCCATTAATTTGTTGGAATTCAGTATGAGCATTAGAGAAGGGCTCTTTGTGCGCCTGACAGCTTCATACGGCTGCATGGGGAGAGTCCCCATCCCGCCTCCTTGATGAAGTGGTTGGCTGCCTGAGGAGGCAGGGATGGGCAGCCCACCTTACTGCCCAGATTGGTGTGCTACTGGAGCAGAAGGACCCCATTGGCACACAAAGTACGGTGAGTACCCCATCCAGCCCAAGGTGTGGCAGCTGTGGTGACAGCTTTGTACAAAACTGTCAGCCACATGAAGTGCCCTTCTGTAATGTGCACCCAAGATTTTTTCCAAGTCCTTAACAAATGTTTGTAACACACAAAACCAGTAGTAGTATGGAAATGAACGGAATGGAAATTCTTCTGATGCGCCTATCAGTGATTCATTACATAGAGCAGAACACTTCAGTGTTAAAATATACTGCACTATATGTATTAGTTGTTACTTTAAAAATGGCACAATAAACATTTTTGTTCCCCCTGTGGCTAGTGAGTTCTAAAGTAAAAATGTTCATCTAAATTAAAGCCAGTGGAATGAAATAAATAACTCAGTGTCTTGGAACTCCTGAGTTGGGAGTTGAAATGCTCACTATGCCTTCCAGTAGAGGGATGGATGAGATCGCACAGAGCTACTCTTGATGGTACATTGAATACAATTCATTATCTTCAGGGTGCACTGAAGCAAGAGGTTACCTTGGGAGTTGCAGAGATCAATTACTGTTACTTATGCCTTACTCATAGTTCTGTAGAAAGGGAAGATAATTGGGGCACTAGAAACAAACTCCACATGTAGGCAATATCTTTGTTTGTTTGTTTGTTTAACTTGTACAGTATATTGTGCATATTAGTGATAAACACTAATCTGGGTGATTTACATCCAAAATGCGACAAGCATAAAATAAAACAATCAAAATGTAATTTAAAAAAATAAATATAATCAACAAAATCATCAAATAAATCAATAAAATCCAAGCAAAGGTGAATAGGCAATCAAAGATAATCAATCATTGGGCCATTCAGCATGTTCAAGCTTTATAGATTTTCAGAATTCTTCATCAGATTGAGTGGTACAAAATGCTTAGGATTCTTAGCAAAACAACAACATAATCAGAAATACCTTTAAAATTCAATGTATGAAGGAGTCAATTGCTTGATAAAAGTCTCATCTGAAACTGGTCCTAGTGTTTCCAGCATACTAGTATATGAACTCTTTATGTCTTACTATCACAGACAGAGGCTGCTAAGTTGTATGGGCTGTTTTTGAAATATTCTGCTCTGTGAGGTTTATTCACAACAGTATAAGGTATGATCAAATTACAAGAACCTTTCAGAAGTAGGAAGCTGGAGGCAACACTCATACTTAAGAATGGAAGCTGTTAGTTGTAAGGATGGTAAAGAAAAATGGCCAACAGGGGGAGAAGATTTCAAGTACTGGAGAAGGAAATCTATCATTGACTCTCAGATGTGGGATTCTGTTTCAGCAAAATACTGCATAGAAAACTGATAAAAGTTTTACTCTCTGAAATCTATTAGAAAGTGTTAGAATCATATGTAGACTGGCAGATAATTGAGTTTATTGTTTCCAGTGTCATACTCTGACTAGATTTGTAAGACCATAATGCTATTATTTTTTTAAAGCAAAGCTCTGTCACTTATGTGGTTCTGTGGTGGATTAAGACTAACAGCTGCTGGGGTAACAAAGGATTAGAGTAACAGTACAATATTACCAGCAGTGCAATGCCCATGGCATGAGACCTGGTGTCTTATTTTGACTAGCTGCCATCTTGGAAATTCTTTTGGAAGCTCAAGTTAGTTTTACATCTCTCTCTAGATGTCAAGCTGGTTAAATGCATTGGCAAAGTAGCTACCATGTTCTCTAGACTCACAAAGAGAGTATAGCTTAACAAAAAGCTAACGGCATATACCAAGATCTAGGTCTATAGAGCCTGTGCCCTGAGTACACTCCTGTACTGCAGTGAGTCCTGGATCCTTTGTGCATGGCAGGAGAGGAAGATGAACACATTCCATATACATTGTCTCCAGCATATTTTTGGCATCACCCGGCAGGACAAAGTAAATAATGTAGTTCTGGAACGAGCTGGAATATAAATAGTGTAGTTCTAGAACAAGCTGGAATTGTTAGCATGTATACATTAATGAAACTGTGACATCTACATTGGCGTGGGCATGTCATGAGAATGGCTGATGGACAGATTCCAAAAGATCTCCTGTATGGAGAATTAGTGCAGGGAAAGCATCCCAGAGGGAGACTACAGCTGTGATACAAGGATATCTCCAAGTGGGATCTGAAGGCCTTAGGAATGGACCTCAACAGATGGGAAATCTTGACATCTGAGCGTTCAGCCTGGAGGCAGGTGGTGCATCATGGCCTCTCCCAATTTGAAGAGATACTTGTTCAGCAGGCTGAGGCAAAGAGGCAGTCCCGAAACCAGCAAAATCAGGGAGCTGGACAGGGGACAGAGAGAGAGCATGTGCCCGAGAAAGTGTAGGGGTGCCTTGCCTTCCTCAGAGGCTCAGCCGGTCCACAATCCCAAAAAGTTTGGGGACCGCTGCGTGTACAGAATATACAGAAACAATAATGAGAAAATAGGAAAGAGATGGTTTAAAAGTCTGCATGTTTGAAAGGCTCCCAAACTTTGTGTTTAGTATTTGAAAACCATTTTTCAAAAGAAAAATGAGTCAGAATGTGAAGGATTATATAAAACTTTCAGATGCACACGTATTTCATTTACTAAATTCATGTGGACAGAAGCAGAAAGTAATATTGCTGAATAATAGCAGGACTTCTGAAGGATCAAGGCCTTAATATAGCTTCCCCCCCCAATCATAAAATGTTTGCAAAAGCCAGCATTTTTATAAGGTATAACACTGGAACTCTCTTTTAGCATGATTATTACAAAGCTAATGTTACCTTTGTTGGTCCCCCCCCTCTTTTTTCCATTTGAGAGCATAAGCAAAAACATGGTAATGAATAACTGAAAACAGTAAATCCACCCTGGTAAATTCATCTGTGCTATACGAGAAAAGACCTAGAAAAAACAGATATAATCATACCTTACATTATAAAATGTAAAAAAAAATCCTTTGTCTTCATTGAAAAACTGTGGAAACTGAGAAATGATTTTTACATTGTGTAGCCAACATACAGTATGCAATAATACTGTCCAAAGGAAATTATGAAAGCTGAACTTTACAAAGATACAGACAGCAGTTTCCAGGACACATTGAAAGAGTATTGTGGCATGGGTTGCTATCCAGAATAGCTTACGCTAAGATTAAGTTCTTCATCTCAAAAGTGCTGCAACACTTTTGTTTTTGCATTTGCTGCTAAAATGAGGACATAGAATAAAATTCTAGGATAAAGATTTTACTAATGTGTGTTAGGGAAACATTGCATATTGAGTGGAATGACAGTGTTGTCCATGGCCTCCAGTACAGAGCTTCGATCGTCTTGTGGAAGCAAAAGAATTCTTTCCCATTCACTTCAGTGGAAGGAGCAATTCATAGCATGTGGAGATTTACCAACTGCACAGAAGTAAATCAAGAAGTCCTTACTGGCAGGAAAGCTCCATGTGCACAACAGAGCTCTCCAGCCCCCCAGAAAATGGAAGGTTCTCTCTCATAGCAAATATAAATCTCTACACAGTGGAACAACTGAGATGGCAATAAAATACAACTTCTTTCTCACACAAATGGACAAGAGAATTAAATTGGAAAAGTTTGGCAGCATGACTCAATGTTCCTGTTTTCTTTCTTTCTTTATGTTTCATTTTTTATGAAATACAGGCAGAATCAGCAAATTAATCTTTTATATCAGAAGATAAGGGAAAATGAACTACGAGCTCAGCAAGCAAGACTGGGGCACATTGTGAATTGCGAAGATTCTTACATGAGTAGTTTCCAGGTGAGATGTGATTGTTGATTTGTACATATTACTTATGGTCAGATGAAAATCCGGAACATATGTGATATCCTGAAATACAGAAATGTGTTTCTTTGCATTCTGTAAAAGACTGATCTTTTGGTGAACTCAGTATATGTTCCTACCCACATGTACTAATCCTTGGGGACCAGTGTGTTACAGTGGATGGTGTGATGGATCAGGACTCAGAGATAATAATGTGAATCCCCCACAGCTGTGGAAATTTGTGGTGTTTGTGTGTGTGACACTACTGAAGCGACTCTTTGAATATCTCATTAGAAAGTGAATCGTGTAAACTCAAAAAGCTTCACGTTTAAGCATCTCAAATGCAAACATCATTGGTCTATGTATTTTTGGAATTATGATTGTTAAAATTATATCACAAAAATTATGAATAGCTGTACTAGTTCAAAGCCCAGGCTAGAAGTCTCATGATCAATATTAATGTTTCTTCCCCCTTTATATTTGACAAGTTAATTTGTTTTGTGTGTGTCCAAGGTCTTTAAGAGTCAACATTTATACACCCTCCAATTGTTGTCAGATTCAGATTCTCATCAGCCCCAGATGTTAAATAGTCACTATTGAACATTACAGTTACAGTTAGTGTCCAAGCAGGATTTTTCTGCCTGCCTCAACTTACTGCTAGCTAGGAATAGAGGCTTCATTTGCTAATGCTTAGATGCATTCATTGCTTGAACATTAGCTAAAAACAGACACCACTTTAACTGTAGGCTACAATTGAAGATCACTACCAAATAGACATATTTCTTGCATTCTGCTGCGACCTTTCCAGTATTCAACTTGATATAGCACGTGTCTAATGCCCACAGTCCTGTCGTCTTTTTTCTAGGAATGATGTTAATGACTGAACCTTCAGTGATTCATTTTGGTTTTTTTTTCCTTCTTATTCCAAACAGCCTCACTATGAGAATACAGCAATGCAAGCTCAGTTTGCAGAGAGATCGATGGCTCACTGTGAAAGAGAAGAACTGGAACAAAAGCTTGCAGCAGTACAGAGTAAGGAACTGCAGCTCAGTGAGTTTCTCAAACAAGTGGCAAACAAATCTAGTGAGGATAAAAAGAAAATGGAGGAGAAGGTGGGTATCATTGGTGTTTGTACACTACAGCTATGGTAGAAATAATACATTAACACTTTTGCCTTGTCCGTAACTACAGTGGGTTGGATCCAGCCAGCATTAATTGAATATCAGTACCACTGAAATCAAAGGGGTGTTAATTATGATCAAATCCAGGTGCCCCAAACCCTGTCAAGTTATGTGGCTAGGTGTGGGCAGCCACACAAGTATCTTCCCTATCTTGCAGGTTCTTCTTCACATGACTGGTCTTGCACGGATTTTAAAGTCAAGTGCACAAGGAGAAAAACCTTCATGCCGTTGCTTCTATGTACATATTTTTTTTCTCATTAAAGAATGAAATGGAGATTTGCTATTTGCTAGGAATGGTTCTGCACATTGAGAAAGTGAAACAAATATTGGCTAACTGTACATGTGTTAATAAAGCTCTTGTACCTGTGGTGACATTGATTACCAGATACAGTGGAAGTTTTTTACAAAAATATAGATGTTAACTTAAAGTGACACAATAAGTCATTAAAGTAGTTATTTAGTATGATGTCTTCTAATCAAGTTGCAAGCATGAAGAGCAAACTTTAGGCTGATTTTTGTTTGAGTTAATATGGCATTGAATCTTTTTTCATTCCTGTGACAGACTCATATCCAATGAAATAGACCCCTGGACATTTTTTGTAAGAGAAGTGCTTGTGAGCCTCATTTGTGGACATTATAATTCCCCAGTCTGAGCTCTTTAAAAGTATAGATATGTGCAACAGTCATCCTACATAGGGCTAGAACAAACATGGCCATGAATAGAGATGGGGACAAATTTTTAAAAATGACAATTCATTTTGATTCGTGATTCATCAAGGTTAATGAATACAAATATACTGTACGAACATTCTTTGACAAATCGATTCATCAATTTGTATTCGCTTTAAATGGCTATAAAACTAGTCCCTAAGGACCTAGAGACACCAAATTTGCAGGGAAACTTGCTCACATGTTTTCCTACATTGGATAACATTGGATAATGAGAGGTTTTGGCACTGAGAGGCATTGAGTTTGTCTTCAGCAACATTACGAAAAACAAAACAAAAAACCCCCACCATTCTGCCTACCTGCCACAGATCAGCTGATTGGAGGCAGATAGGCAGCCATCCTCCCACAGCCAGCCACTCCCACAGCCTACCCCCACCCCTTCCTTTCCCTACCTTAGCCCCCGCCCCCAATGACACTCCCTTACCTTAATCGCTGCTACTGAGCTCCCAGCCACACATGTAAAAAGGGAGACTGACTGCCCTTTGCAAAGATGGCGGCTGCGGCTTCATTTAGGGTAGGGAAGCTGCAGCTGCCATCTTTGCAAAGGGCAGCCTGGTTTCCCTTTATCATGTCCATCTTTGCACAAAAAGTTCCTTTAATGTCTCCAATTTTCTTGAACTGATCTCTGGTTTTTCCGTTTCTATTATTTTCATTTATGAAGGCCCTCTTGTCTCTCCTTGCTATTCTTTCAAAGTCTGCATTCAGTTTTCTGTAACTTTCCCTATCTCCCTTGCATTTTGTTTCCCTTCTCTGCTATTTGTAAGGCCTTGTTGGACAGCCACTTTGCTTTCTTGCATTTCCTTTTCTTTGGGATAGTTTTTGCTGCTGCCTCCTGTACAATGTTATGAGCCTCCATCCATAGTTCTTCAGGCACTCTGTCCACCAAATCTAGTTCCTTAAATCTGTTCTTCACTTGCACTGTGTATTCATAAGGCATTTGGTTTAGATTATATCTGACTAGCCCAGTGGTTTTTCCTACTTTCTTCAGTTTAAGCTTGAGTTTTGCTATAAGAAGCTGATGATCAGAGCCACAATCAGCTCTAGGTCTTGTTTTTGCTGACTGTATAGAGATTCTCCAAATAAAGCCGTACACAGCCCTAAAAACTACTCCAAGAGACAGGGGCAAGGCAACAGACAATCACCTACGCAGGCAACAACTGCAATACATGAGAAAGAAAAATCATTCATCTTCAGGCCTGTGCAGGCACTAACAGTACTTTAAAGTGCATATTTATTATCACATTGCCATCTTCTCTTCCTTATCATTTCCTCGATAAGAAGCAGTACAGATGAGAAGCAGAAATCATAATGATGAGATCCTCATCATTATCATCAGACTATGGTGGGTAGCACTACTATATATTACCAAATTCATCATCATCCTCATCAGTTTATGATCATCATTAGTTATAATGGCAGTCTGTTGCTTTGCTTGCAACCCTATCCTTCCCCAGCTTATGCTGCAACTTATGCTGCCAGGGCCTGTTTTCAGTCATACTGCTTTTTTCTCAGACCACACAAGTAACCTTAAGAAGTGCATGATAGGATGTTGACTGGCCTGTGAAATGGGTCAGGAGGCGAGGAGTTTGATTACCTGGCAGTTGCACAGCCTTCTCTTTCCTTTCTCTCACCTTGGGTTTGTCAAAGTCATATGGCTGTCTCTTGACAGGTAGTTGCCAGGTCTCATCACAGGATATTTCCTTTCTCTTCAGAGGTCACACAGACAGAGTCAACAACACAAGAAGGCCCGGTGTCTGACCATGCCACATAAACACTGTGCATATTACTAGCCACCAGTCTCCCATGGTATCAGGCAGGCAAGCACTACACACCAGCAGCATCTTCCTTCCTAGCTCCTCCATATACAACCACTCTAGTTTCTCATCACAACCATCTTCTCTGGTCATCCTCTAACAGTTTCAGTGAATGTATACATTCATCCTGCCAAGACCAGCCATCGTCCGCCAGCAGTGTCCTTTCTTACCCCTAGGCATACAGCTGTATACTGCATGCTTGTTCATTCTGCATTTTTACAATTAGAGGTTAAGGAGAAAGAGAGAGACTTCTTAGATATCTTTTCTTACTGTAGTGTATGAATAGAGATTGAGTCAGAGATTGATATACAGTATACATATCTGTGCAGACAAATAGAACAGCTATATCAACTTCTAAAATAGCTCCACTCTGTATACATTTCCCTATATGCCTAGAGTGTTACCTTCCTATCTACGGTAACTGAAGAAATGGGAGGCAAGAGTGGCCTTTACTAGAGCTAAGTTGAACGAAATGCTCTTGGCTATCCAGGATGGAAGATTTGGGGAAAGGCATTATTTTGAGCATGACTACCCTTGTATTGATTGATTGATTGATTGCATTTATAGCCCACCTATCTAGTTGAATGACCACTCTAGGCTCAGACAAGTTGAATATCTTGTACATATTATTCAGTGCTCTCATCTATAGTATATGCTAGGCAAAATGCCTGCCCCAGATCTTATGGAGATACAGGATAACACATGCACATGAGATAATATTTTATTATGAGTGCAAGCAGGGGTGGTCACCGTGAAAATTGCACATTTTTTTATCTGTAGCAATTTATACTAGCAGAAAACTTCAAAATGATAATTCTGTTTCCTGTCAGGGGAATGTTGATTTTTAAAGTGATAGCTTATGTAAATTTTAACAGGATGAGCACCTTGTACAGTCATATACAGTGGCGCCTCGCATTACGACGTTAATTCGTTCCAGCGAAATCGCTGTAGAACAAAAACGTAATGCAAAATACGTGCAGCGAGGAATCCGTCCCAGAAAAGAGCGGGGAGCCTTTTTTTTTAACCCGGCGGCCATTTTGAAACCGCCAATCAGCTGGCCGAAAATCATTGTTTTGCGAGAATTGGTTCCCGAAGCAGGGAACCGATCATCGCAAAGCGAAATTCCCCCATAGGAAACATAATTTTGCGATCCCAAAAGTGATCGCAAAAAGTTCATCGTAATGCGATTTCGTCGTTAAACGGGGTGCCGTCTTGCGAGGCACCACTGTAGTTGCTGACATATTTTTATGTTTATAATGGTCATGAGACTCTATACAGATAAAATCGTTATTGCTTGCTCTCTCCCTCACTCTCTTTGTGTGTGTGTGTGTGTGTGTGTGTGTGTGTGTGTGAGAGAGAGAGAACGAGAGAGAGAGACCTATATTCTCTTTTTCAGAGGTACTTGAACAAAAATCCTCAGACTCTGAGTGACATAACTATTTAGGGTCTGAGGACTTTTGTTTTTCAAATACCTCTGAGAAAGAGAGGAAACAGTGGTACCTTTTCTGTTCTGATTCCCATTTAGGTTTCCACATCTGGTAGGGGAGAAACATATGAGCCTGTGGTTCATATCTTGCCTTGTGCATAACCTAGTGGCTTATACTGTACTGCTTAAGGATGAGATCAGCAGCAACAAAAAAATTGTGAATCCTGCATTTGAGAAGAAATAAACAGTTCCTACAACTATCAGAACAAGGCAAATAATTTCAGTCAATAAGGTGGTTTTATAAATATGTCCCATGGTCTCAAACCTCTGGCTTAAATAAAGGAAAAACAGCTCTGGATAGACATGTGTTTAACTACAGCAGAAATATTTAACCATGGAAATGGTAAGCAAGAGTTCTTAACTTCTGAAAAGATAAATACTCTACTCCAGTCTGTTTAACTTTTAATAAAACTCTGTTGTACACCATGCTGAAAAGTAAGTGCTGAATTTTAAGAAGCTATCAATCTGCCTGCAGATTTTCTTATACAAATTTGTTTCCTCTTTTGCATAAGGAATCACATAACCTTATTTTCTTTCTAGCTCAAAACCAGAGACAGATACATAAGTAGTCTAAAAAAGAAATGCCAGAAAGAATCAGAGCAAAATAAAGAGAAACAGAGAAGAATTGAAACCCTTGAAAAATACCTGGCTGATCTTCCAACACTGGATGATGTTGAAAGTCAAAGTAAACAGGTAATTTGTTTTTTCGCAGTACCAAAAAACTGTTAAGAGACATAATTGAGTATATGTTATAACATGTAGTCCATAATGCCTTTGCACTGAAAAAGGGACTGCAATCCACAAAAGCACAAAATAAATTTGTTAGTCTTAAACATACTACAGTAATTCGGGTTTTGTTTTTGTTTTGTACTGTTTTGATTTTTTAATTACACCCATAAAACAGAGCTAAATATTTGATCGCAATGCTGCATAAACCTCATAAAAATGAATGAGCACTGCCCAAAACATCCTACATAGTCCCCATCCATTCTAGTACCCCACAGTGTTCCAGTTCCCAAAAGCATTAGAAAGAAAAATACAGTAGATGTTAACATTTGCTGTTTCCCAAACTTGCCACTTACAGTTACTTTCTTTTATAAAAGGGAGATAAACATAATGGAAAACAAGACTTTTTCTAAAAGGGCAGGATAGAAATCAAATAAATAAATAAATAAATAAATAAATAAATAAATAAATAAATAAATAAATAAATAATAACAAAACCAGTCTCCAGTTACTTTGTTCTTTTCAGAGTAATTCAATTTAACATCAGAGCAAACACTCATTTGTGAAAAGTTGATAACTGGAGTTCTCAGTGTGCCCGAGTATGTATTTTTTTTTTAAAAAAATATATGGTTCTTGCTATTAGCGAAATACGTAGAATCAGGACAAACTGCTAGGGAGTGTAAACTGTGTAAAAGTAAGATTTTGAAAACTTATAATAAAAAATGTACACTGTGGTTTTGTGTTTTAAACTGAATGTACACATTTAATAATAATGATTATGTCAGTCATAGTATTGCAGAATGGGACATTGTAATTATTTATTTATTTTTTAATATTTTTATTCTGCCTTTCTCCTAAAAAATTATCCAAGACGGCTTTAAAAACACAATATTAAAAGTGAAAAACAGCTAATATTTTTAAAGAATTCAAGACACTATATTAAGAATGTCAAGTAAAAGTATTGTGAAAAACAGAGCAACAAAGAATGAACCATTCCATTTATTTTTCTGCCAGTCAGTCAGTTCCTAAAGAAAAACCTGCCTGAAGAGCAAGGGTACTTAGTCCAGAGAAGATGTGGACTGGACTCCTTATTGTGGCTGCTTCATAAAACCAAGAATATTACAAAAAAGAGGCACCATGTTGTAAACTAGAAACTGAAAAGTCAAAGTGTGGCTTCAAAATGATTGTGCAAGCAGGAAGGATTTCTGAAAAATAATACCATCTGCATTTTCTGGTGTCAGTCCTCTTTTTCCTCTCTACACAAATGGTGTGATTCTGAAGAAATTTGTATACTTGAACATACTGTATTTGCAATAAATGTTAATTTCCCCTCTTATCAACATATTTTTGAAGCTTTGACTATCTTTTCCTTCCTTCCTTCCTTCCTTCCTTCCTTCCTTCCTTCCTTACTTTTTAAACAGAGCTCCTGAGAATGGCATAGGTAAAAGTGTGCACTGATGCCTGACTGCACCCAGTGTCTGCCTTGAAAGACTAGGAAATATTGTCTGTTACACTCAGAAATATACATAA